ATATTTATTCTCTATATTAACAATCCTATTTTGATTGATAGAACTGTTTGAACTACTTAAATTAAAAACTACAATAAATTTGGAAACAAGCAATAATTTGTCAAAATATTTATTATAATAATGGATTCAATTATAATTATGGAAACAAAATAATAATAGATTTTTGGATCATTCGTTATTCAATTATATATTAAAAAGAGTTAAAAAAAAAACTAATGCTATATTGCAAATTAGGTTAATTATTATAGAAATTAATTTTTATATATGAGATGAATGTCTTTCAGATTAATTACAATTGCTCTTTGTAACAAATATCAATTTCTATTGATATTTCTAGAATTCTCTAAACAATAGCAACCAACTATGATAATTGTACTTGTCTCATCATTTAAAATTGTAAATTATGTATAAATAAAATTTAATTAGGTCAATTTCATCTTGAAGCAACCAAAGAAATATACTTGTTATGACTTATGACTTTTTAAATTCAATAATACAAAAGCTTATAGAATATGATTTTTAAATGAGCATTAAGATTGTGAATACAATAAATTCAAAATAAATTTCGAAAACAAAATTTTTAATCTTAAAAGCAAAAAGAAATAAAATTATCAAACATTAATAATTTCAATTCATAATAAAAACCATATTTATAATAAAGAGAAAATTTTATTATAAAATTTGCATATTACTTGATATTTCTATAAAGTTGAATGAAATAGCCAAACCACAGATATTTTTTAAAGGAAGATTTACAAAAGGCTTGATTATAACTTTACCAACATTATTTTGATCATTTTTAATATTTAATAATTCAAATTGATGTATATATTCATGAGCTTCCTGAAGGCCTATAAAAAAATAGCTATTATTAATAAAATTTAAAATTTTAGCAATATTTTATCAATGATTACAGTTAATTTATATAGACAATACACAGTACATATCAATATAGTCAATAATGATGCATTCTATAATCATCTATTTTTGGACCATGTTTAAAAAATCTGAATGTAACGAGCAATTACTTATTGTGACATCATCACAATGCCAGGCTGCAATTTTTAATTTATATCATTTAAAATATATGTTCTTCACCTCAAATTAGTACTGTAGTGTCTTGCCCCTGTACATCATACTTTCCATTAGCAATGGAGTTGTGCTGGTCATCTATTAACTGCTTTCAATGGAAAAGTTTTAAATTGAAATGAAATGACTTCCAGTTTGAATATAGTTATTCAGAGTCTCCTGCCTCTAAGGTTTCCATATCTGGTCTCAGATTTCATCTATCTAACTCCACTCTCGAGATTAAGGAAAGATAGACAGACAGACGATAATGGGAATTTATGGATCTACAATTTTTCAAATTGCAGCCCAACAATTATGTTTATAAATGTGTGTTCATTACAGCCAACATGAAAACATGTGCATTAAACTTATATAGATTGAGAAATAACATTTGTTTCTGCATAGCTTTTGTATGAGCATTATGTTACACATATAAAGTTCTTTTTCTGATACATTTTTGTTTACAAGCATGTAGGGTTTTATGAGACTAAGTATATCTCTCAATTATGTGATTTGTAGACACATGTAATTATCAGCAGGAATTTTGTTAATATTAATGTTAACTGGGCAATGACTATTTTTATAAAATCTTTATGTCAAAATTAAAATATTTGAAAAAAATTTTTTCATAAAATAATTTTATAATACTTACTTAGCCCATTCAACACTAAGAATTAAGTTATCATATCCAAATCCATTAACACTAGATATAGCATGAGCAGCATCTTCTCTTCTGTGGAAATTAATAAATGCAAAACCCTGGAAAGCAAGAATAAATTTGCTATAATGATAAAATATCCAATAGTTTAAATATAAGATTTCACTCAGTTTAACAGATAAAACGTAATACATAAAAGAATGTTTATATTACTTTAGAGTGTCCTGTAGCCTTATCTTTAGCTAAATAAATTCTAGCTATGCTTCCAAATGGTCGGAAGAGTTCCTGCAAATCTGAATCTCGTACATCTTCAGAAAGATTGGTGACACGAATGGTTGCAGTCTCATCTAAAGTTGTTTTTTTTTTTGTAGTAAAATATTTATATTAATATTATTTTAACATTGTACTGTACATTATACAGTTTATTTAATAACTTCATTTACCTCGAGTTCTGGATGGTGTCATGGATTCACCTCTTCTATTAGCACCTTCTCTCATAATTGGTGGTACATATTTCCCAGCCTTTACTTTCTCCTCTACTTGAGGACTTGGAGCTGCTGAAAAAGTAGTTTTATTATGAATATATGTTAGAAGATAGTATAAACATTTTTATGCAACTTAATTATACCAGGAGTTGCTTCATCTTTAAGCAGATCTGGAAGTGCTCCTAATTTATCTTTAAATGGGCATTGAGTGGTCCAGTGATCTTCTTTACAGATACGACATTTTACCATTTTCTGTCCTCTTAACTTGGCAAGAGGATCTTCCTCAACTTGCTGTTCTTCCTAAAACATAATTTAAAAATTTTTTTTCAGTTTTAATTTTTGGAAATATACATTATAAACAATATTTGGTGTCATAAAAATAAATTTTTGTTCCAGTTATATCTATTTGCCTTAATTATAATTAAAGAAATACTACTCTGAAAATTTCATATATTTTATCATCTTTTTAAAATACTTAATGCTTCTTAAAAAAATGAATTATTAAAAAATTTACATATATACAATAAAACTTCAATTTGTTTTCATCAGGAGATCTGAAAAAAACTATAGATATAGGAAAACAATATGTGCAAAAACTCATATAAGACAGGGAAAAAGCATTTACATATGTATGTATTTACTCAATTAAAAGTATACACCAATAATATTTTTCCACTGTCCAGTCCAGTCTTCATTTCTTCTTTTTAAGCATGTTATTAATCTTCATTTGTTTAGTAACACTTTTCTTTCCCAATATGAGCAATAAACTTTCAATATTTACAATCTTTGCTTGATGTCTTAGTGATATGATGAGCATACAAAAACATTTTCATGGACTTGAAAGTATAAAATAATTTGGAAAAATTTGGCACTGATTTGGAATCAGCTTTGTCATCACAACTAGGGTTTCTCAAACGGGATTCTGAGATCCCAGTTGTTTTTTTAACCCGGGAAATATCCTGGGAAATTTTTCTTATCCCGGGAAATCCCGCAAATTTCTTAAAAATTCACTTTTTTTCTTATTTTGTGTNATCCCGGGAAACAGTTCACTTTTATCCCGGGATCCCGGGACAAGCAAAAGACCGGGAAATGAGAAACCCTAATCACAACCATTCATTCCTTCCCCTTCCAGCACATTGTCTGGCAGGTAAGACATGGACAAGATCTTACAGCTAATTATATACATTCTAAACTACCACTTGCTACACCAACACTATTACTACTTCCAATGCATACTAATATTTGTGTGTGATGTTAGTCTTACTTAAAAACAATAAGTTTGGGATTAATTTTCTTCAGAACTAAAAATTATAACTAAGTGATGCAAGAAAACAATAAATTGTTGCAGATTTAATTTCCATTGTTTAAATAAGATTTCTTCAAAAACTCTAGAAATTAGATTTACTTTCAAAGTTTAAATTCAGCCAATTGCTGTCATCAGATTTAACATTTAACATTTTATGAGAAAGCATATATTCTAAAGTCTTTTAACATTATTAATAATCTTTATTTTCAATCATCATAATTTTTGATATTACAATGAATATATTGTATAAATTTGATAATTGATTGATAATTATCAATTAAACTCATTCAAGATATTCAAAAATAATTTTAATTAATATTTTAAAAAATAAGGTATATATGTTACTGTGAATGACTGATATCTGGCAAATGTCAACATTCTCCAGTGAATGTCAGCATTCACACAATTGTTTCATGTATGTACGAAATATTTGCTAAATATCATTATTTCTCACTTACACCGGCAAATGCAACATTCACTGTGCACTGACGGTGAATGTTGAATAAAAATATTTTTATTACGTTAAGACAAAAATGCAACTTTTTAATACGTGAAAATAGGTGAAAGCTTAAGTAACAGCACATGTAAATAAACGGTTGAACCTAAAACAAACAGTACATTCTTAATCATTAAAGAAAATAATACAATAATAAACTTACACATAAATTATGTGATTAACATTATACAATCTTATTTATTGCAACAACTTAAACTGTTATGGCACTTTGAATTGCACAAGAGTCCCTTGCTTTTACAACTGCATTTATTTGTGGAACACTTTTTTTGCAATGACAGCGTGTACAGCCTTGCCCTCCACTTTTCGAATTAGCTGCAGCTGCTTCTCTTAGCGATATTTCTTGAGAAGAAATCTCATATATGGAAAGTAACTTTTCTTTACAAATTACGAACTGATTACGTTATTACGTGATTACGAACTGATCTGTTAATGGTGTCTTTTATTCAGATATCGCCGATGCCTTACCAACGACCCCTCTCATCCTCCGCCACTCGACCTGACAAACTAATCCCCACCTCACGGGATCAAAAGAACAAAAATGCAATCCAGTCACAAAGTGAGCAGTTTCCACCAAACCGTTGTCGGAAAAAGAGATATGACCGTGTCCTACCTCCAGCTATCCACAAAATATTTGGCGATAGACTGTCGCCTCTCTGTCGACATTGGCTTCTCGGGTATCGTTTCGACCTCCACCAAAGCTTATCTGTGCTTGTCGACATACACCGGCGATTGTTCGAATGTATAATAATATAACCAAATATTCAGACTTTCACCTACTTATTTTGTATGTGTCAACATTCACTGGAGAATATTGACATTCTCTAATTTCGGTCTTTCACAGTAACATATACATTCAGACAGCTTATGCAACTGGAAAAATAAAGGAACTATTCCAGAAAAGTAATAAAAACTTCTACATCAACATCTACTGAAACATAATTACTATATTATAAAATAATGAACTTAATTACCTCTTTATTTGTCAAAAACTGCATAAAAATCTCTTCTGAAACAATTGTGTTTGAAGGATTAGGACCTGGAGGATCATCTGCAGCCAAACCAAATTTTTTCCATAGCTATTAAAAAAAAAAAAACCCAAGAAAACTTATTANCTTTTCGTATTAGTTCTTTGTTTCGTATAACACGGATTCGCATAACACGGCAATTTTTTGGAACGTAACTACCGTATTATACGGGGGTTACCTGTACAAACAAATTTTAGTTCGTTTATTTTTTCATATTGAATACAGTCAAATAAGATGTGTGTGGGGGTTTCACTTACCCCACAAATCTCACAGTTTTTATTATCTCGATGATTAAATCTATAATGATATTTCGTAAAATCCCCATGTCCTGTCATGAATCTTGTAAATTTGTGTCCAATTTGTAGATGTTTGCTCTGGGCACTAAGAGCCTTTTTCGTAAACCCATTATGGGTTTGGCCAGACCCCCAACGGGGCGAACGAATGTTGAGGGACGTGGCCTGACAGTCGGCCGGATAGCCGAGAGGTCAAAGCGGCAGCCTACCGCTCGGCCATCCCAGCGATCTGGGGGACCCAGGATCGAATCAGGACGGGTCGAAAAATCCCCAGGAATTTTTCGGGGGATGGTCCGTCTTGGTCTGGATATGTCGGGCCTCGTCCCTCACCACACGGCCGCTGCATTGTGAGCCTGGCCGAACTGATAATGGGTTTGCAAAATGAGGTCCTCTTAGTGCCCACAGAGCAGAAAGTTTAAAAAAAATAATAAATAAACATTAAAACATATCTGGACGGATTACCCTCCGAAAAATATGGAATTTCCCGACACATCCGATTCGATCCAAGGTCCCCTACAGAGGTAGGCTGCTACCTATGACCATTTGGCCATCCGGTCATCATAATATATAAGCCTAATTGCAGTTTCATGACTATGCTTTTACTTTTTTTTTTTATAACTGTCTAAAGCATTTTCTATAATTCTTTTTTATTAAGTCTAAAACATATAAAATGGCCCACCAGTAGTCAAGTGGTCTTCGTACCCTGAACACTGGAAGTTCGGTGGTGGATTCGCGCCTCGCTCGGACGGGCTGGCCACGTGGAGTTTTCCGGGTTTTCTCCATGTCTGTAACGCCTAAATAGGAGCCAGTTTCCATTAAAAAGACCTTCCGGAAGGCATTCCGTAGGCAGATCGCCCAAGTGGTTTGTTTGAGTTATGGCAAGTGTTGTGTTTGGTTTGTTTGAGTTATGGCAAGTGTTGTGTTGCCATAACTCAAACAAACCAAACCTAAAACATAATCATATCGAAGACACGCAAATTTATAATTACAATGGAAATTTACACTTTACAACAGAATAAATTTTGCGATAACTTTTCAACATCATTCCCGCAATTTTTGACGATCACTAGATTAATAGCGACTCCTAGGAGTAAAATAAAGTTACTAAAACTGACTGATTCTGTTGAATACTATAAAAACCGACTTAGTTTAATCGATTGTTTTTGAACTTTAACTAATCCATTATTTACAATCGTTCCAAACACTAATTCCCGCGCGTAGTTTGAGGGATGCAACTTGACAGATCACAACTTCGCTGGCTTTTAGCATCGCTAGACAATCGCCGCACCGAATTTTAGTGTCAGTTCAATCTGTGTGACGTTTGTGACAGACAGTTATGAAAATCAAAGAAAACTTTAATCAGACTCGAATATAGGGCAAGAGCGATTTTCTGCCCCATTTAAAACCGGGAAAAACATCTACTAATATTCGGGCCAGTACAGTACAGTATTTACAAAATACTGACTACTTTGAAATTAACATCCTCCTGCCGATATGTTTGTTTCAGACAATGCCACTTCATAAATCATTCCTAAAGCAATTTCTTGTGACGTCTTTAAGCTTTTAAAACTGCACCTTCCACATTCATCTTCCATCAGTCATTCCTGGTTAATTGTAATGTATACCAGCTGTCGCCAATCGGTGGTCCGCGGAGAAATTTGGGGTACGTTCCTAAAGTCAAACGAGTTAAACGCGTTAGTAACGAATCGTTCGAAAAGTAGTAGTCTCGCCCAGTGCGCATGCTCTGCGGTGATGACGTTTCAAACGAAACTCTAACGAAGTTCACGAAGTTAAGAGTTAGTTTACTTCGTTAAGAAAATGGCGCCCGACGATATTGATGTTTCTAAATCTACTCGAGTGTTTAAATTGGGAATTAAAAGGTGAAATGATTGAAATAACTGTCCACCGGAAGCAATCTAAGAAAAATATTTCGGATAAGGCTGCACTAGAAACATCCATATCTTCGATTTTAGAAACATCCATTTAGTTATAAACGAATCGTTCGAAAAGTCTAACGAAATAAGAATAACTATGACGTCATTCTCGTTTAACTCGTTCGACTTTACGAACGTACCCTTGGACATTGATCAACTCAAGGTTACGCAAAGTATTCGAAAGAAATGCAAAATCCTTGGTTGGTTTTTCTCTTATTGGGGTTTTTATTCGAATATAAAATCAAACACGAAATGACTGTTATCAATGATGTTGTGTGTGTGATAGTCGTCCTTCCAGGATAAGAGCCAAGAATCCATAAACTTATTTCAAACAAGCAACAACAAACTTCACATTAATTTGTTATAATTAAACATGTAAATTTCATGTTAATAACGTAATATGAAACTTTTTATAATCTTATTCTATTGATGTTCGTATTGTTTAAAAAAAATTCATGAGTGTTTAGTGGGATTCAAAATTGAGTTTAGTAGTCCAGGATTTCAAAAACATTGGCGACACTGATCTATACTATCTTTTGTTTAAATGATCTTACTATTTGTTATATCCTTAATATGGTTTGTAAATGCCATGAAAAACTTCAATACTTTCGAAATGTATTATTTTTGCTATTATCTCAAAATACATTACTACAACTAATTTATAAATTTAAGATTTTTAAATTTTCATTTTGCAAAACACATAGATAAGCTTTTAATAAAAAAAATTAAAAATTTTATATAGCAATCTTTTAGTTGAATCAAACTGTTTAAAATATTAATGAAAATGTTTCATTTAATAAGTTTTTTCTTCCAAAATAAAGATAACCTGTAGTAAATTTAGATTTATGTCCTTGCATATAGCATTTCAAATAATTGCATGTAGAAAATGACATCAATTTGATATCATACTTATACTTCACATCACAAACAAGCCGAAATAGATTCAACTTTCATGTTATTGTATGCTTGGATTTGTATTTAATCAATCCTAGTCTACCTGATAAAACTATATTGTGACAAAATACAAATATCTTTATTTATTAAAACTAAAAAATATTGGCTAAATTTTTATTGTTATATTTATTCTCTATATTAACAATCCTATTTTGATTAATAGAACTGTTTGAACTACTTAAATTAAAAACTACAATAAATTTGGAAACAAGCAATAATTTGTCAAAATATTTATTATAATAATGGATTCAATTATAATTATGGAAACAAAATAATAATAGATTTTTGGATCATTCGTTATTCAATTATATATTAAAAAGAGTAAAAAAAAAACTAATGCTATATTGCAAATTAGGTTAATTATTATAGAAATTAATTTTTATATATGAGATGAATGTCTTTCAGATTAATTACAATTGCTCTTTGTAACAAATATCAATTTCTATTGATATTTCTAGAATTCTCTAAACAATAGCAACCAACTATGATAATTGTACTTGTCTCATCATTTAAAATTGTAAATTATGTATAAATAAAATTTAATTAGGTCAATTTCATCTTGAAGCAACCAAAGAAATATACTTGTTATGACTTATGACTTTTTAAATTCAATAATACAAAAGCTTATAGAATATGATTTTTAAATGAGCATTAAGATTGTGAATACAATAAATTCAAAATAAATTTCGAAAACAAAATTTTTAATCTTAAAAGCAAAAAGAAATAAAATTATCAAACATTAATAATTTCAATTCATAATAAAAACCATATTTATAATAAAGAGAAAATTTTATTATAAAATTTGCATATTACTTGATATTTCTATAAAGTTGAATGAAATAGCCAAACCACAGATATTTTTTAAAGGAAGATTTACAAAAGGCTTGATTATAACTTTACCAACATTATTTTGATCATTTTTAATATTTAATAATTCAAATTGATGTATATATTCATGAGCTTCCTGAAGGCCTATAAAAAAATAGCTATTATTAATAAAATTTAAAATTTTAGCAATATTTTATCAATGATTACAGTTAATTTATATAGACAATACACAGTACATATCAATATAGTCAATAATGATGCATTCTATAATCATCTATTTTTGGACCATGTTTAAAAAATCTGAATGTAACGAGCAATTACTTATTGTGACATCATCACAATGCCAGGCTGCAATTTTTAATTTATATCATTTAAAATATATGTTCTTCACCTCAAATTAGTACTGTAGTGTCTTGCCCCTGTACATCATACTTTCCATTAGCAATGGAGTTGTGCTGGTCATCTATTAACTGCTTTCAATGGAAAAGTTTTAAATTGAAATGAAATGACTTCCAGTTTGAATATAGTTATTCAGAGTCTCCTGCCTCTAAGGTTTCCATATCTGGTCTCAGATTTCATCTATCTAACTCCACTCTCGAGATTAAGGAAAGATAGACAGACAGACGATAATGGGAATTTATGGATCTACAATTTTTCAAATTGCAGCCCAACAATTATGTTTATAAATGTGTGTTCATTACAGCCAACATGAAAACATGTGCATTAAACTTATATAGATTGAGAAATAACATTTGTTTCTGCATAGCTTTTGTATGAGCATTATGTTACACATATAAAGTTCTTTTTCTGATACATTTTTGTTTACAAGCATGTAGGGTTTTATGAGACTAAGTATATCTCTCAATTATGTGATTTGTAGACACATGTAATTATCAGCAGGAATTTTGTTAATATTAATGTTAACTGGGCAATGACTATTTTTATAAAATCTTTATGTCAAAATTAAAATATTTGAAAAAAATTTTTTCATAAAATAATTTTATAATACTTACTTAGCCCATTCAACACTAAGAATTAAGTTATCATATCCAAATCCATTAACACTAGATATAGCATGAGCAGCATCTTCTCTTCTGTGGAAATTAATAAATGCAAAACCCTGGAAAGCAAGAATAAATTTGCTATAATGATAAAATATCCAATAGTTTAAATATAAGATTTCACTCAGTTTAACAGATAAAACGTAATACATAAAAGAATGTTTATATTACTTTAGAGTGTCCTGTAGCCTTATCTTTAGCTAAATAAATTCTAGCTATGCTTCCAAATGGTCGGAAGAGTTCCTGCAAATCTGAATCTCGTACATCTTCAGAAAGATTGGTGACACGAATGGTTGCAGTCTCATCTAAAGTTGTTTTTTTTTTTGTAGTAAAATATTTATATTAATATTATTTTAACATTGTACTGTACATTATACAGTTTATTTAATAACTTCATTTACCTCGAGTTCTGGATGGTGTCATGGATTCACCTCTTCTATTAGCACCTTCTCTCATAATTGGTGGTACATATTTCCCAGCCTTTACTTTCTCCTCTACTTGAGGACTTGGAGCTGCTGAAAAAGTAGTTTTATTATGAATATATGTTAGAAGATAGTATAAACATTTTTATGCAACTTAATTATACCAGGAGTTGCTTCATCTTTAAGCAGATCTGGAAGTGCTCCTAATTTATCTTTAAATGGGCATTGAGTGGTCCAGTGATCTTCTTTACAGATACGACATTTTACCATTTTCTGTCCTCTTAACTTGGCAAGAGGATCTTCCTCAACTTGCTGTTCTTCCTAAAACATAATTTAAAAATTTTTTTTCAGTTTTAATTTTTGGAAATATACATTATAAACAATATTTGGTGTCATAAAAATAAATTTTTGTTCCAGTTATATCTATTTGCCTTAATTATAATTAAAGAAATACTACTCTGAAAATTTCATATATTTTATCATCTTTTTAAAATACTTAATGCTTCTTAAAAAAATGAATTATTAAAAAATTTACATATATACAATAAAACTTCAATTTGTTTTCATCAGGAGATCTGAAAAAAACTATAGATATAGGAAAACAATATGTGCAAAAACTCATATAAGACAGGGAAAAAGCATTTACATATGTATGTATTTACTCAATTAAAAGTATACACCAATAATATTTTTCCACTGTCCAGTCCAGTCTTCATTTCTTCTTTTTAAGCATGTTATTAATCTTCATTTGTTTAGTAACACTTTTCTTTCCCAATATGAGCAATAAACTTTCAATATTTACAATCTTTGCTTGATGTCTTAGTGATATGATGAGCATACAAAAACATTTTCATGGACTTGAAAGTATAAAATAATTTGGAAAAATTTGGCACTGATTTGGAATCAGCTTTGTCATCACAACTAGGGTTTCTCAAACGGGATTCTGAGATCCCAGTTGTTTTTTTAACCCGGGAAATATCCTGGGAAATTTTTCTTATCCCGGGAAATCCCGCAAATTTCTTAAAAATTCACTTTTTTTCTTATTTTGTGTTAAGGTTGAGGAATTTTGCAAATAGAAAGCATAATTAACTCATTCACTGTCAGAATACATTTGTATTTATTAATTTTAAACCTACCTATTAGTTTTTTTTAAATTTTTGCTCGTTATAGCATGTCACAAATGGTCAATAATCAATATATAGCTTATTTGTGGCAGGACTATAAAAATTCTTTACTTGTCGGAACCTGTAATATCTGGAATAATTGTGCTTA